GAAGAGAGCCAGGACAAGCTTATTTGTCAGAATCCCACTGAATACACTTCTTTATCACACCGGCATGAATGGGGCTACATCCTACCCAAATATAGAGGCCACAGAACATGATTTTGCTTTGATTAGCTTGGACCTAAGGCAGGTGTTACTCCCACTTTTTAAAATCCAGGGGTGGAACTGTCCCCCTCCTTCCCATGCACCGCCACCGCACATGGGAGGTGCAAGGAGGTGGTGTGGAAATCTGGGGAAACCCGTGGCAAGGAGGGTGTCTGGTGTCCTAAAAGCACCCACAGTGCCCTCTACACAGGGTCACCAGATTTAGCAAATAAAAATATAGGATGCACAGTTCCGTTTGTATTTAAAACAAACCACAAATAATTTTTTTTGGATAAATATCGGCACATTTTTATACTAAAAAATAACTCATAATTTACCTGGAATTCAAATTTAACTGGGCGTCCTGTAGTTTACTGGCGCTAAGTCTCTGAAAACTTTTTCGTGGGTGAGACTTTACTTGTGGACCAGGTTAAAATGCACATTCTGACTCGGCAGTTCCGAGCAAGGCCTGGGATTCTGCATTTCTCACAGGGTCCTGGGTGATGCGGTGCAGCATGCTGGAGATCCACAACCTTGAGGAAGGGTCCACACGACCTCTTGGGGGTGAGATGGGACGGAAGCATGTGGATTGGAACAATGCAGTGTTCCAGCACTGAGTCCAGCCCAGGATGAAAACTCTAGATGGTTGCTCATTATCATAATAATGAGCATCGCAGAAGTGTGACTGTGTGCGTGTGTCTTTCTCTGTGACTCAGGGGACTTCTCAGTGATTGTACAACAGCGGCAAACTCTCTGTCCACTCTCCACACCGCAGCTGTTCTGGCTGAGGAGGTTTCATTGGGGGAAACACGAGAGGGGGTTATCTAGGGTGGCAGCTGGTGCTTGGGCCCCTGCACCCCCACGTTTCTGCGAGCACAGCCACCCTGGAGGCTCACATATCACCTCGCCCAGCCCGCCTTCATTCACTCATTTCAACCCCGAATGAGGCTTGTGTGTGCACTGTACTTTGGTCGCGGCAACATGAACCCAAGTGGCCAAAATGGGGATTTCCTGGAAGGAGTCTGGAGGGACTCACTTAGTGGAAGGGTGAGCCGAACAACCAAACCTCAGGGGGGGCACCTGAGCTCAGCCAGGTCATTCAATCCCCACCTCTCATCTCTCAGGGTAGGACATTTTCTCCTCCAGCAGACTGGCTTCCTCCACACGGTGGAGAAGAAGCAAGAGGGGGAAAGCTGGCCTTCCCCCTCCCAGAGACAAGATTCCCAAGGAAGGGCACGGATTGGCCTGGCTCGGGGCAGATGGCCCCCGTCTGCTTCCTTCTCTGCAAGCACGCTCCATCCTCTCTCCCTCTCTCTCTCTCTTCCCTCCCGCACCATCTTATTCATTCCCATGGCTTTCAATTCCATCTAGATGCTGAGGTGTCCCTGAAGGGGAGCATGGCCATTGTGTTTGCTGCCTGACATCTGGAAACCTTGCATTAGTTAGATTAGAGGAACCTTCCAGAAGAAAGAAACACATATGGTTTAGTCTGTGACTGGGGAGGCTTATGAACATCAGAAATGTATTGCACACAGTTCTGGAGGCTGGGAAGTCCAAGATCAAGGCACCAGCACTGTCACCTTCTGGTGAGGGGCCCCTTCCTGGTTCATAGTTGGCTTCTCACTGCATCCTCACATGGTGGGAGGGGCTAGAGATCTCTCTGGAGTTTCTTTTATAAGGGCATTGATCCTGTTCATGAGGGCTCCACCCTTGTGACCTAATCACCTCCCAAAGGCCCCATCTCCTAATAGCCTAATATTGATACCCTGGTATCATTTTGGGGGGTTACATCTCAACATGAATTCTGGGGGACATAAACATTCAGACCAGTGATATACATTATATATCAGCAATATACATTATAATGGCACATCATATTACACACTTCTCTTATTTTACTTAGAAAATTTTTAAGGGTTACAAAATATACATACCATAAAATTTACCGTTTTAACCACTTTTTCGTTCACATTGTTGTGCAACCGTCACAATCCGTCTCCAGAACTCTTTTCATCTTGCCAAACTCAATCTCCGGACTCATGAAACACTCACTCCCCTCCCCCCCTTGCTCCTAGCCCCTGGAAATCACCACTCTACTTGCTGTCTCCACGAACTTGACTCCTCTAGGTACCTCATAGAAGCTGAATCGTCCAGCATTTGTCTTTCTGTCTTATTTTGCTTCACATAAAATCTTCAAGGCTCACCTATATTGGAGTGTGTGTCGTAATTTCCTTCCTTTTTAAAGCTGAATAATATATGTATAAACCACATTTTCTTTATTTCTCAACAGCCACTTGTTTCCACCTTTCGTGACTCATGCTGCTATAAACATGGGTGTACAAATCAGATACTTATTTATCTTTTAAATTTTATTTTATTATTTTTTAAAGATTTTATTTATTTATTTGACAGAGAGAGACAGCGAGAGAGGGAACACAAGCAGGGGGAGTGGGAGAGGGAGAAGCCGGCTCCCCGTGGAGCAGGGAGCCCGATGCGGAGCTTGATCCCAGGACCCTGGGACCATGACCTGAGCCGAAGGCAGAGGCTTCACCCAGGCGTCCCTAGATACTTATTTCTTGATGATATAACAACCTTGGGTGGGTATTGGGCACTGGCTGAAATGTCTGTGGAGGGACCCAGTTTTCTCGGGGCTCTACCATGCCCTGGGACCTGGTTATTTTCTGCACCCAGCCAGCAGGAGGGAAGAGAGCACGGAGCAAGCATGCTTGTTTTTAAGAGCTGTGGCTTGGGAAAGGTCTGTGTCCCTCTGCCTGAATCCTAGTGATAAGTACCAAACACGAGGCCACACTCAGATGCCAAGACTGGTAACTGCAGTCCCTGGATGGGAAGAAGCATTTCAGGGATGATTCTATACTTTGAAAGGGAAGGGCAGATTTCTGCAATCACTTACCAATCTCTACTGCAGCCCCATCCTATGTTTTGGAGATATGCCATTATTGGTTTGGCTGTCTGAAGAGGGACTCAGAATTATCAATGGTTTCAGAGAGAAGGTAGTTTTCCTCAGGGAGGCACACAAAACCTGTTTTTCACAAAGCCATCAAGTGTCTGTCTTTCCCCTCCTGGCTTGTTACTCCACCATCCTCAATACGTAGCTTCTGTCCGGTGATCCAAGATAGCTACTCCAGATCTCACCAGCTTGGCCAGCTGGGAGGGTGGGGAGGGGAGAGAGAGGAAGCTGTGCCCCCCATTTTGCCCTCACCGGGCCATTGTAGACACACACTGAATGATCTGAGTCAGAGGAGCACAGATGTATCTTATACTCAGCTCTCACGATGTAAAGCTCATGCCCATAATAATTAGTTTAAAAAAATTTACCTTTGTGATATTTCTGAAGGTGAGACACAGGCATATCTTACTATTTACATGTACATTTCATACAGTATGCTCCCCCCCAAAGGATGTTATTAGATCAACAATGCACACCTTATGATTGATGCAGACTGAGACGTGACCCATATAGTGGCCGGAGCAGAAGTAATAATACTAATAAGTCTTACTGATCACTAGCATTTTCACTGAGACTTTGGTATGACTCAGGTCCTGAATTAAGCACATTTGCACGGATTATCTCACTAAATTGAGGCTGTGAGAGGTGTCATTCAAAAAGTGAACTGTACATCCCCATCCTCCTGATGCCCAAGCTTGGTGACTCTCCTCCTTTCTTTCTCTTTCTTTCTTTCTTTCTCTTTTTCAAAAATTCGTTGTTTGTATTTATTTATTTGTTATTGGTGACTGTTTCAATGAGGATGATCATAAAACGGTTATAAATAATCACAGTAAGTCATCTGCCACTTACGTGAGAGCCAGCCAAGAGCAGAGCCGACAGTGACCAGAGGGACTTAGCCTATGAGGACACTATGGAGGACACTGAAATGAGATCTAACATTCAGCGAGTGCTTCCTAAGTGCCTGCCTCAGGTGGGGGAAGCAGGTGAAGCCCCAGCTGCTAGGATCGATGGTCTGCTACGGGAGGCCGTATGTGGGAGCATGGTCAAGTGCTGGAATCGGGAGCGAGGCCATGCTGGGAGCCCAGGCTCTGCGTTCTGGGCGTGTGGCTCTCGGCCTTGAACTCTGTGTCCCTCGTTATCTGCAAAATGGGAACAGGTTATTAATGGGACCTAAAGCACGCAAAGCCCTGCCAGGCGCACAACGTGCTACTACCCCCTGAAGAAGGAGGGCACCGAGACCGAGAGACTGGCAAGGCTGGAGGACAGGGAGCACTCCCAGCTCCAAGGGTGGCTCCAGCCCTCGGGGAGCTTCCCAGAGGAAACCTGAGACCAGCTCCCCTCTCCGACCCAGAGGAAAGGGGACCCAGGGAAGGAAGGCGCTGGCCGCTCGGAGTGGCAGGTGCAGTAAGCGAGGGCACTTGTGGGGCTTGCCTCGGGGGCAGCAGGATCCTCATCCTAAAAGTTCACCCCGGGACCGGGCAGGGCTCGTCAGGGCTCTGCCCCGGAGCTGCCTCTGCGAGCGGACGCCGCACCAGCCACGAGCCCCGGCACGGAAGGGGTTACGATGATAGAGACGACCGGAGGACCTGGGGTGGCACGAGCGGCCCTCGCCGCCACTCTCCCCCACACCTTTCCGCCCCAGGCTAGCGCGGGGCGCTGACCGCGCAGGCGCGAGCGCGGGGCGCCGGGCGGGGGGGGGGGGCCCCCCCCGAGACCCCGGAGACTCCCGCCAAACGGGCCGGGCCCGCGCCTCCTGTCCTGGAAGGGGGCGGGGTCCGAAGCCCCTCGGCGCGCGGCGCCATAGAGCAGGGACGGAGGACCCGTGTCCTAGACGCGTCCGGAAGTGGCTCCCAGGGGCGCCCGCTCCGCACCATAGAGCTGGGGGGGGTGGCGGCTAGGGGGTCGCCGGGCTCGCCTTCCTAGAGCGGCGAGGACGGGGTGGAGGCCGGCGGGGGGGTGGGAAGGGGAGGGGGAGCAGCGCGGGCGGAAGCGGCCAGGAAGGTCACTTCCGGCCTGGGCGCCCGTCCCCCTGACCCCAGGGTCTGAGTCGCCGCTGCCGCCGCTGCCACCATCCGCGAGGGAGGAGAGAGGAGGAGTGCGGCGCGGCGGCCCCGGGACCGAGGAGGTGAGGGGAGGGCGCGGAGGCGGGGGGGCGT